TTGGGCTGGCCCAGCTCCACAGGCTCCTTGGGAAACACGGTCACCTCAGGAGGCTCTGGGAGGAGACAGAACCTGGTGAGTGCCCTGTTCTGGGATGAACTACGAAGGCCACCCTGGGGGTGACATTACCTCAGGCTCAGACTTTGTGACATCTCTGGGCTCCTGAATCTGAGCCAGGAGTCTCATCCCACTGGCCAGCGTCACTCAGCGGACCTTCCTGTGCAGTGGGAAGGGGCGAGGCAGCCCTCGACTCTACTGGAATGAGCCCACAGCCACGGGGAAGAGGGTCCCTCAGCTGTGGGCATCTGGGTCTCCCATTCTGTGGGGCAGAAGGGACTCCCTCCCCTTCCCAGTGGGTGAAGAAGCAAAGACAGGCAGTACCGCTGGTGGCCTGGGTGTGATTGGTGAGCTCTGTCATCATATCCAGGTTTGACTTTGCTATAGCAATGTTAGTCAGCCCGCCCTGAAAATCAAAGCGAAAGGCTCGGCCAAACTCTGGCAGACGCCAGATGGTCTCCTTCTTGTCCTGATCCACGTAGAATTGCTCATCCTCATCCAACTCAAACATATACTCTCCTGATGGTGCATGGGTCTGTGCAAAGATGGCATAAATTGACACATGGTCCGCTGTGTAAAGAAAATAGAGAAAATGAGTCAAAATGTAAGGATGAGTATGTACAGGGTGGAGATATGAGAATGAATAAAGTTTTATTAATACATAAACCCAGAGGGAAAGAGGTCAAAGGAAGCATCTATGGAGGAAGAAGGAGTAACACAGAAAAAAGACAGAACACAAGGTTGACAAGAGCAATTATAAAAGGAAATGGGGAACAAAATGAGAAAAGTATTAGTAAGAAAATTTAGCTGCTTCCTAGTGATTGAACATCTGGGCATCCTGGCCCTGCAGAATTTTGAATAAGAACAAAAACAAGAAAAATTTTTTGAGCACTTACTATGTTCCAGGCATCATTCTAAATACTTTTTATATTTTACTTATGTAATTGTTGCAAGTATGAATCATATACATAAAGTACTCTTTTATGAATAAGGAAATACAGAGAGGTTAAGCAACTTGCTTAAGGTCACACAGCTATATG